TTCATTGACTGTCAGTATTTTAAAAAAGCTGTAGAGAACATGCTACCTCATCGATGATAACTCGTCGGTACTACCATTAACATCTTTCGAGCTTGCTACAATCCTCTCGTCACTGGTGAAGTTTGACAGGCATCCTGCTCCTTCTTCGTACACCATGCTTGTCCAGCCATTTTAAAACTTTTCAATCAACTCATACAGACTTCTAAGCGGCAGTGCACTGTCGTCATATCTTGCTAAATACTTCCGATGAATTTCAGCTCCTGATACAACTTACGACGGGAGAAATCCGTTTGTTCCTCCTAGGTACACACTGCTAGCGGACCGGCGATGTTTACACTGTAACAGCAGCAAGAAAACTGGCGCGATCAAACTCAAAATTTCAATGACATGACCACAACTAGTACTAACTAGAAACACGCATGCGCAGAAGGAAAACCTAAAGATATGTTACGGCAAAATTACGGACAATTTGTTACTTATCCACCTATATATTCAGAATTTGCTTTATTTATGTAGGAAGAGGTCAGAATTGAAGATAATGCGTATGTAGATATAAAGAATGGGTAACTTAACACTCTATCCCTGTACCTGTAACGGCATTCACCCAGGGTGGGTTGAGCCGGCTCCAATATTGGAGTTTCATGGGAATTTGGAATTCACAAGCGGTCCCCAACCCGCATGTATAGCACATAAAATTTGATTATAGTGGTGAAGGTTTCGTGCAGGACCATCCACACTTTTTGAAGGGCCGATTACAGAGACCTGGTGCACTACGTGCTTAACACTCTATGGTGACTAATGAACTCTTTTTTATTTGTATTCCGATTTTAGTACGAATGTGAATGGAAATAACACAGCCAATCAGATTTGTGAATGGAAATAATACAGCCAATCAGATTTGTGAATGGAAATAATACAGCCAATCAGATGTTTGGGACTTTGTTTTAAATTTTCTTCATTCATGGACCCTTCGACGTGATGGTTAGCAAACTTGTCTCGCAAGATCGATTACAACTGAGTTCGTTCCTCACTTGGTGCTCCATAATTTCGGCCTTGTGGCATATCTAAGCAACGCTTAGTAAATGACACTACTGCAGTCATCTTTAGTGGGAGAATTGTGGATAGTGGCTCTCGGAATGGTATTGACCCCGTATAAAAATATTTGACTGTTTTTCAAAATAACTTCCGTGAAGAGTTACCTGAGCTTACTGGTTCTAATGGAGATGGAACAAGACTCATTAGTCAGGTCAACAACGTCCTATGAATTTGTTCCGACTGACGTCGAGCTGTACCGGAAAATGCCAAATGATACATTTCTTTTGGCTAATAATTTCATTCGTGTCAGTTTGAGTAATCCTTCTTCTAATTTCCGTTGAAAATTTTTCAAAATTTACACGCTGAAGCAAATATCAAATAATTTTCCGATTTCTTTTTGAATTTGAGGTCTGATGAATTGAATCGTGATTACGATTCCAATAAAATAAATTATAACCAGGGAATATTAGTGCTTGAGCTTTTTTATTATATATATATATATATATATATATATATATATATATATATATATATATATATACAAAAAAGCTCAAACACTAATATATATATATATATATATATATATATATATATATAGAGAGAGAGAGAGAGAGAGAGAGAGAGAGAGAAGATATATATATATATATATATATATATATATATATATATATGGCTTCAAACGTTATTATAGTAGGCACTTCTTATTTTAAACAGACGCCCCATTGTTTGGTTTGGTTTGTTTTATGGCAATGGGTTATTTAATGCCGACAAGATTTTTATTGCTGGTAATACTATTTTTCAAAAAAATATTTTTGGTAATAATTATATTTTCATAAATGTATTGCTGATATGTTTTCCAAAAATGTATTGCTGGTAATTTATTTTCAAAAATGTATTGCTGATGATAAGTTTTCTTCAAAAGTTCATTACTGGTAATAATTTTTTACAAAAATATATTGCTGGTAATAAAACCTATTTTTAGACGTTTTGACCCCAGTTTGAGGATTGACTGTTTGCCCATAGTTGGGATCCTAACAGGTGCTACCACCGACGCCCATATATATCTACTATAAATCCACTTAAATAAATATAAACAATTATTATTTAGGTATTTTCGAAATGTAAATGACCAGTATTTATCTATACCAGCGTTTCCCAAATTCTGTTTTTGTCTTGTTTTTGCTTTTTGCTCCTTGTGGAGTCCTTGAAATAGTTTTCATGTCTCAGGGAACACAGGCATAAAAATTATTTTATCAATTTAAACGTTATTTTTAGTGGATACGCGTATTTGAGTTAACGTTCCGTTTATTTATTAAACAGTAATTTTTTTATTTATTTTCGTCTAGCGGTCTGAATGTTAGAGAAATCTTATTTAAGAAAAACTTGCGCTCTCCGGCAGAATTTGAACCTGCGTTCCTCGGGGCAGAGGCAACTACCGTTATGCTCGACGCACTTTAACCAATTTGGTCACGAAGAGAAATCTATCAGATTAATAAAAGTTAATTATAAAAAAATATTATCTCCCATCATTAATATCTATCTCTCATCAACATAATATAGGGACACTGCGCATGCGTCCTGTACTGGAGTGAATCATTCAATAATATACAAATCCGCCACGTACAACTCCTGTCCACTCACCAGTGAAGAAGGTTTCACACTGATGTCATATAAACGTCACTAAATACATTCTGTTTGATTATTATAATTTTAAATAATATAAGAGGTTGAAACCTTTATTAGAATAACCAAGGATTTTCCCAACAATATGCCGTACGTGTATAGTGAAATAATGAATTTTAAATTACGTATTTGACGGCATATAAAACGCACAGGTGTACAAGACGCAACCCAATTTCAGCAGGGAAAAATCAAGAAAAAATTAGCAATTAGTAAGATTAGTAAAATTATTAGTAAATGGTACAGCCTAGGCTATATTTATGAGGTATTATTTTGGTTAAACGAGCCATGATTACAATTAAACCAAAAATAGTTGGAAAAAAAGAACACTGGCTTATAAAAACTTTATTATATCCAAAAGTAAGAAAACAAAATAAAAATCAAGTAATTATTACAACTGAGCAAAACAGTACAGTTACCATTAAAATCTTATTCATCTTCATATCTATAAAATTCGTCGTCTTCGTTATCAAAACTCTGATACTCATTTTCAAAACTACAATCATCGTCGTTAAATAATGCGTCATCTTCCGTTCCATTGAGAGCATTGCTAATGCCACACTTTTTAAATGATTTCACAACAATTTCTGGTCTAATATTATTCAAAGCTTGCTTCACCCATTCGCAGACTTGTGTAATGCTAAGACTTTTTTATTCTTCCTGTAAGTGTAAGGTCGTGATCAGGCATTGCCATCGACGTGTTACATTGTTCCTTCATGTTTAAGTCTAAGCTAATAGGATTTCGGCCGACTATCGTGAATTTTAAACCTACATATGACAAATAACACGCCGGGGAATTTTAAAAGATATTTTAGGAAAAAAAAGTGAGCCTTATATGCCGTCAAATACGGCAAACAACTATTACTAAAAAATGCATTAGCCTATTTATCACTATTTCTCGCGGGACATTTTTGCGGACCCCGTGGGTTCCTGGGAACGCCGGTGGAGAAATACTAAGAAACAAGCAAATGAATTACAGATTCAAATATCATTAAATCGTGAGGCACCTAGCGATTCAAATATCCAAGTTTTTTATCTGTGATATGTGGATTACCTCTGAGATATCCCGTGTATTGTAACCGTGACTATTTTTTAGTCAACCGTTCTATTATGTCAACAACAACTGCATGTCTGTCGGAAGGTACTCGGTCTTCCAGATCAAAATTTACACTTCTGAAACTGGTCAACCACTTACGAAGAATACCCTCAGATATGGCACCGTATTCATAAACGTTACAGATATATTTATTGTTTGTACAGCGTTTTCTTCACTTTCAAGAACATTCACTATCCACGCACAAATTGAATCGAAAGATGCGTAAAAATGTAACCCTTCAGAATACGTATGTCATGAATTTGTGCCACGTGTGAAACTAAATCTCGTGTTCAACTTATTGAAACCCGCGAACAACTTTAGTTCCAACTGATACAAATCAAAAAGGACTGATTTCAGATTTAATAACTCAAATTTCTTGGGAACATGATGATAAAAGAGGGCTTGGAAAATTTGATACTCAAAGGAAAGGCAAGAAGGACAGAGATAAGCAACGCATAACGTACTTAGCGAGCTTGAGCAAATGGAGAGATTTAGGAGAGATAACTAAAAGACAAAATTTATTAAGAGATACAAATGGCAGGTAATTGTGGAGAGTCGTGATCGCCAATGTCTTAAACGGGCACACAGAAGGAGACGCGATTTTGTAAAATAAAAAAAATAAAAAATCTATTTATGTATCTATCTAGCATATCAAGAGTTAAGAAAATTTCCTTTTTTATTAAACAGAATCACCAATTGCAAAAGTGTTCGTGGACACACATCGTTGACGATCTAACAATAAAATACAATTCGCTAAGTGACCTGCTTCCATAATATTCTATGCTCAATCAACCGCTAACAGTGTTTTAATATACACATACGTGAACATACATATACACGTATTACAAATTGATCTACTCAACCCGAACAGGACTATTCACTTGAAAACACACACACACACACACACACACACACACACACACACACACACATATATATATATATACACGTACGCACGCACTCGTACGCATGCGCACATACACAGTTTTTGCTTTGATTGAACAATTATGCACATTCTTTGAAATCTCGTGAGAATACTGGGGAAAAATAGTGTCTGTTTTCTATGAATATAAAAGTAAGTATTCTGGCTGATTATGGTAAACTGTATTTGTGTGTGAACTGGGTGCTTTGGGTGGGGAGGTGAGCATCGAGTTTCGCTGAGGCTACCGAATACTACACACGTATAATT